GCCTTGCGTGGGCACGAGGAGACTGACTCCTCGGACAACCCCGGCATTTTCCGGGGCTTAGTGGATTTTGTTGCCTCCCTCGACAGTGTGCTGGAGGAGCACCTGAAGACAGCTACCGTTTTTAAGGGCACGTCAAAGACGATACAGAACGAGCTGTTGGAATGTATGCTGTCAGTGCTTAAGGATTACATCCTGGAGGAAGTAAAGAGTGCTGATTTTATCGCCATTCAAGCTGACGAGACGACTGACGTTTCCACCCACTAACGTGTTTCCAGACCATCAGAGACTCTGGGAACTTTGATGCCCCGACTGTCAGAGAGGCGGGGGGCTTTGTGAGGATGCTCGAAGACGAGGCTTTCTGTTTTTTCCTGGCACTGTTCCACAAGATCATGCCAAATGTGGACATGCTTTTCAGCCAGCTGCAGAAGAGGAACATCGACCCTGTCTTCATTAAAGCACTTGTCCAGAGGTTCACAGACAGCATGCTAACAATCAGGTAAATAACTATATTTACTATTGGCTGATAAAGATGTTGTTAGAAAGATGAATAGTTCACTTACAACAGTTTAAAAGCCTAAATGTGTCTGGTCATCAAAGTGAGTGATTATCATAGAGCCGTCACAATTATATTTGTTTTAGTATTTTAAAAGGAAAGAGAAGACACAATCAGACGTTGATAATAATGCAGGAAAGTACTACACAGTTTGTAATAATTATTCAGGTGTCCACCAGGTCAATTTCTAGAAGAGGCCTAGTTGTTATTGAAGATTAACATTATTTTTAAGTACACAGCAGACCAAAATTATGTTGCATTAAAACGTAATAACATCAGTTAATTATGTACATCACAGGTTAAAAGCAGTTACTAGACATAGTTTGTGTGTATATACACACTATCTGTCTGTCTGTCTGTCTGTCTGTCTGTCTGTCTGTCTATATATATATATATAAAATTCCTGTACAAATAAGATGACAGACACACACACACAGAGCAGCTCTGGCCGCATGTTTCTTTGTATATAGTTGACCTTAGCATAAAAAATCCAGTTATATATGGTACTCTAGAAAGTCTTAATAGTGTCTTTGCTAATATTACTGTATATATGTTGTTTTGTATCAATTAATTGTTGCAGTTCTGGAGCACATTAACAATTAGTCACATTTAGTATGATCATAAAATACTGTATGCTATTCTTCCAGTCAAAGGTTTGAGTTCAACCACTTGATATCCATTTCTATATTATACATCCTTTTATACAGTGTAAGATTTCCTATAAACTTTATAATAATTTCATGTTATTGTCCACTTTCCACTCTGTTCTGACAGCATGCCTGTTGCGTTGCCTGTTTACTACCAATGGTGAAAAGTTCACTTTAAATGCAAATGAAAGGCTTGGGTTTGTGTAATATGTTTTTGTGTAAGAATGCCTCAACTTTTTAATATTGGCATTAAATAATTACTGAATGTTTCACTGAGCAATGCTTTCCTGCAGTTTGTGTTAAAATATATCGCGATGGTTACAGGAAAAAAAAAGTATGGCACAGCCCCACCGAGAATATTTTTCACCAGCCGCCACTGTTAAATTCCCATAGCATCTGCCTCTAACCCTAGGAAGCTCTTTGCCACCTTCTCCTCCCTGCTGAATCCTGTCATATCCTCACATGGCCTCTCCTATCATTGCTACGCAGACGACACACACAACTAATCTTCTCCTTTCCCCTTCTGATAACCAGGTGGCGAATCGCATCTTTGCATGTCTGGCAGACATATCAGTATGGATGACGGATCACCACCTCAAGCTGAACCTTGGCAAGACGGAGCTGCTCTTCCTCCCGGGGAAGGACTGCCCGTTCCATGATCTCACCATCACGGTTGACAACTCCATTGTGTCCTCCTCCCAGAGTGCGAAGAGCCTTGGCGTGACCCTGGACAACACCCTGTCGTTCTCCGCTAACATCAAGGCGGTGACCCGATCCTGTAGGTTCATGCTCTACAACATTCGGAGAGTACGACCCTGCCTTACACAGGAAGCGGCACAGGTCCTAATCCAGGCACTTGTCATCTCCCGTCTGGATTACTGCAACTCGCTGTTGGCTGGGCTCCCTGCCTGTGCCATTAAACCCCTACAACTCATCCAGAATGCCGCAGCCCGTCTGGTGTTCAACCTTCCCAAGTTCTCTCACGTCACCCCGCTCCTCCGCACACTACACTGGCTTCCAGTTTAAGCTCGCATCTGCTACAAGACCATGGTGCTTGCCTACGGAGCTGTGAGGGGAACGGCACCTCCGTACCTTCAGGCTCTGATCAGTCCCTACACCCAAACGAGGGCATTGCGTTCATCCACCTCTGGCCTGCTGGCTCCCCTACCTCTGCGGAAGCACAGTTCCCGCTCAGCCCAGTCAAAACTGTTCGCTGCTCTGGCACCCCAATGGTGGAACAAGCTCCCTCACGACGCCAGGACAGCGGAGTCACTCACCACCTTCCGGAGACATTTGAAACCCCACCTCTTTAAGGAACACCTGGGATAGGATAAAGTAATCCTTCTACCCCCCCCCTTACCCCACCCCCCCCCCCCAAAAAAAAAAAAGAAAAATACATTGTAAAGTGGTTATCCCACTGGCTATAAGGTGAATGCACCAATTTGTGAGTCGCTCTGGATAAGAGCGTCTGCTAAATGACGTAAATGTAAATGGGACAAGCAAAAAAAAAAAAAATGTATGTATGCACTCACTACAGTAAGTCGCTCTGGATAAACGCGTCTGCTAAATGACAAAAATGTAAATCATCATCTCACAGAGAGAGATATTGGTTGACTGATATGTATTTATGATTTTATTTATAATAACATTGAATGAAAAATACATGTATCTATTCATTCACTTATCCTTTCATGCATTCATTTGTTTGTTGACTGACTTTTTTAAAGCGGCAATCTGCAAATCAAACGACAACAAAGCCAATCCCCGCCACTGTTTTGTTAAATAGCAAAGGGATGGGATTGGAGAAAAGTAACCACGGTCAAATTCATAGAGAGCTCAGGATGCAATGAAATCAAAATGAGACTATAGTTTTAACCACATTTTGAGGACATACAGTATTTGCTTACAATTAGCAAAATTATTTACAAACAATGAGTAAATAAAGCTTATAATTTGGGTTCTGGTGGGATACGACTGTTGAACTATGAGCCATTTAAAAGTTGTGTCTATTATTTAATAATCAATAGCTATATATCATTAATTTAAAAGTCCCAAAATGGAAGTACAATTTTACAGATTGCCCCTTTAACGTAGCATGTCCAGGAGGATGGCATGTTGTAGTAGGCCTATTAGGTAGTTTTAAATTATTTACATCATTTTCTGATAAACCTATGACGAGGTTATCACAACACATTGGGACATTAGTTTATTCAGATACATAACGACAAAATATTAAAATATTAATGTTAACCCAGATATTTGGTTCTAGTTTGCCGAGATTATTTAGATGATAAAGACATATAGAGGTCTACTGCATTCATCGTATAGTTAAGGGTCAATATTCTCTCTCTCTCCCTCTCTCTATTTTAGCAATGTTTGAGCCTTCGCAAGGCCAGATGAGACATTGTTTGGAACTAGCCTACTGAGGACACACTCCGTACATGATGAGAGAGAAGTTGAGGATACCAAAAGGGAAATCTGGTAGGTCTATTGTGGTTTTAACTAGGCCAAACTTTCCCAAATTCATTCATTTTTTACTCAAACCTAGTGAGACCCCCATTCACTTTTTGTACATCCTTTAAATTCTCACAATTTCAGTTAATCCGCAGATACAGTGAGGGAAAAAAGTATTTGATCCCCTGCTGATTTTGTACGTTTGCCCACTGACAAAGAGATGATCAGTCTATCATTTTAATGGTAGGTTAATTTGAACAGAGAGAGACGGAATAACAACAAATAAATCCAGAAAAACGCATGTCAAAAATGTTATAAATTGATTTGCATTTTAATGAGGGAAATAAGTATTTGACCCCTCTGCAAAACATGACTTAGTACTTGGTGGCAAAACCCTTGTTGGCAATTATAGAGGTCAGACGTTTCTTGTAGTTGGCCACCAGGTTTGCACACATCTCAGGAGGGATTTTGTCCCACTCCTCTTTGCAGATCTTCTCCAAGTCATTAATGTTTCGAGGCTGACGTTTAGCAACTCGAACCTTCAGCTCCCGCCACAGATTTTCTATGGGATTAAGGTCTGGAGACTGGCTAGGCCACTCCAGGACCTTAATGTGCTTCTTCTTGAGCCACTCCTTTGTTGCCTTGGCCGTGTGTTTTGGGTCATTGTCATGCTGGAATACCCATCCACGACCCATTTTCAATGCCCTGGCTGAGGGAAGGAGGTTCTCACTCAAGATTTGACGGTACATGGCCCCGTCCATCGTCCCTTTGATGCAGTGAAGTTGTCCTGTCCCCTTAGCAGAAAAACACCCCCAAAGCATAATGTTTCCACCTCCATGTTTGACGGTGGGGATGGTGTTCTTGGGGTCATAGGCAGCATTCCTCCTCCTCCAAACACGGCGAGTTGAGTTGATGCCAAAGAGCTCGATAATGAACCTAGAACCCAAACACATAGAAACTACACACCCTGGCTCAACATAACAGAGTCCCAGAGCCAGGGCGTGACACCCTCATTAAAATGCAAATCAATTTATAACATTTTTGACATGCGTTTTTCTGGATTTTTTTGTTATTCTGTCTCTCACTGTTCAAATAAACCTACCATTAAAAGTATAGACTGATCATTTCTTTGTCAGTGGGCAAACATACAAAATCAGCAGGGGATCAAATACTTTTTTCCCTCACTGTATGGGATCAGAACACAAACCACATTCTGACTCTGGAGGTTATGTGCACTATACTGGCAACAGGTGAGTCTATATGCTATCATTTTATCATTACTTCAGGTTTTAACGAATTAATCATTTTCAGGATTAAATTTAACTAACAATGATACTCTGTTGCAGGTCATCTAGCTACCCTGAGAGTGGCACTTCAGACTATCACTTGGATGAGCACCTTCCTCTGCCTCGCGCAAGTTTGCTCCATGCCTTGCCAGTTAAAAGAACAGCTGGTGCGAACAACCCACAACCTACTGAGAGACATGGTACATTTTTTAAATTACTTTGGGCTTTAATTGTAGTATCTAACAAAGTGTATTAACTGACCAACTCAGCCTGACTTCTGTGTTTTGTCTTTCTTTCAGGGAGGTAATTTTCCTCTGGAGTGCCTGCAGGATAATGTCTTCATGGCATTCCCAGCCACTGCTTTCGCAACCTCCGGCGCGCCACAGGTAACCGCATGGGCTCATATCCAAGTGTTCATTAGAGCATGAAAGTATATTTGCAACCCTTACAATAAATAAGACAATCTTACACTGTCATATGTTATTTGAAATTATTGTTCTTGTCCGTTTCAGTTGAGCAGCAGCGGTGTTAAGTCTATTTATGAGACATTGAAGAACATCGACTCATTGTTTGGAGTTGACGACCTGCCAACAATGTGGGACCAACAGAAGTTGGAGTATTTTCAGAATATTATCTACCGTCAGATTGAAGAGAGCAAATGTGTGAGTACCTACCTATGCTAATACAGATTACTTAAACATTTGAATTATTTTTGTTCGCCTGCCTCTTCTCTTCTTGTGTCAGATGATGGGGAGTGTGGATACACGTGATTATCTAGTATGGGCAAAGGTGCTGAAGACATACTTCGGGAACATCGCAGAAGTCCTAAAAGAAAAAGTAGGATAAAAGCAAAAATACTATAATAGAAAACACTACTTTGATAATATATATGTCAATATTAGCCTACATTTCCCTAACAGTTTATTTGTATTTTCACAGAATTTCAGTTACTGCGCCTGGGAAGTGCTTCGAAAAGAGCTCCTGTACACCCTACAGTTCATTCTGGAACACAACTCTGATAGCCTTTTGTGGTCCAACAGAACATGAATTTGAACGTGCAGAATTGATTTTCATACTGTACTTGATTTTGATTGCCTACCATTCTACAATTATGTAATGTGTGATGTCAAACTGCAATATAATGGATTTATTTATGTATATTTCAAGGTTACATTTTTATTTATTTGAAAATCGTGCATATTGTTGCTGTCAGGTAAATACACATTTTTATACTTTCAAATATTGCTACTCTGTGTGCTCATTCTGTAGCATCTTGATGCACTGTCTGTCGGCGTGTAAACGTTCAGATTTGAGTTAAACATGCTCAGGACATGCACGGTTGGCAGTGGAATTTGGCCTATAGCATACTAATCTATAAAGGAAAGTCCTAAAAAACAAGTCAGATGTAACTTCTCAAACTGTAGTTAGTCTATATTCAAAAGCCTGTCTTCAATGAGGATAAGTAAACGGGTTTCAGCAGGGCTCGCCTGTTTTGAACACAGTACTTTGAGCTATTACAAATTCCGTTTCAACCCCCTCCATTAAATTGCATTCCACAATAACGTAATCAAAGCAATATTCGTCGAATAGACAGAACAGATGCATAGTGAATTCACAAGCAGTGAAGTAAAACAGTTTTCCCTACTGTTTTCTTTTCTAGTTTCAGTTTCCATTTCCTAGCGCATACAGTGCCTTCAAAAAGTGTTCATACCCTAAAACGTATTCCACATTTTGTTGTGTTACAGCTTGAATTAAAAATTGATTAAATACAATAACTTTCATATTATGGGGTATTGTGTGTAGGCCAGTGACAAAAAATCTAAATGTAATCACGTTTTAAATTCAGGCTATAAAACAACAAAATGTGGAAAAAGTCAAGGGGTGAAAATACTTTCTGAAGGCAATGTACATGCATGTAGCCTTTTGCTGTAGAGTTCATGTAAGGTTACAGCCAGGTGTAGTCAGATCATGTCTAAACAGTGAGGTTTGACTGAGGGCCAGTTGAGCTCAGTGAGAATCAGATGAGCCAGAGGGGTAAACAGAATGACACACCCTGCACTGCTCATTAAGTAAACCTGACATAGAAACATGGAGGTGAATCATATTTTATGGCATATGATTCACTGACTTGAGATCGAAACGAATCTATATATAAACACAATGGTTAATGAACAGGTGTCAAGGTATTAAGTGTTATGATTCACCACATAGACCTACATTATCATAGGTCTGATTTTTAAGCACCGCTAGCTAAAACAGAAATATCGCATCTGATTCACAGGGGATTATTACCGTGGAAGTTCATGAAGGGGCTATAAATGCTGTGGTATATCTGTATGAGAACTACACCCTAGAATATGACATGTTGGACGGGTCTGACAGTCTGAATTAGAACAGAATGTCAACATTTGGCAGAACATTGCTAATCACTAAAGAAAAGTTATGGTATTAAATGTCAGTTTTTCATATTGCCTTTTCTCACCATCACTTACCATTACATTTTTATTAACAAATAACTATTACATTTAAGGAAATAGTCTTACGCTATTGCAGGAGTAACATTTGAATTCCTTTTTAAGTCAAAGTTATGGATTAACCCTAGCGTAGATCATTTGACTCAATAATTCACATGCAAATATATGAGAGTTTGGGATATGATTGAGGTTAAAACCTTTCACAAGGTCAGGAAATAGCATCTGGTTTTGTAAAACTCAGTCTCTTATAGGTGATTTATTCATCTTCTTCTGAGGTCAAGTACTACTCATCATCCTTGGCCCAATAATTGTCTTCAAAATACCCGCAGTCTGCCACTTCCACCGAATGTGTGTTATTAGTCGGTATTTAGCTGAACTAGTGCTATGAAGGGAGGTGTGAGCTGTGAAGTGACTCACAACTTCAGCCCACACCTGTGAAAACAACAAGCTAACCCTGGAAGACACCAAAGACATGAGGCTTTAGGCAACCGACCATAAACCACTTCTCTTCTAATCCTCAAATCAAACGGTGTTGGCCAATACAGTCATGTCCATAATTATTGGCACCCTTGATATAGATGAGCAAAAAATACTGTATATAAAATATAGTAAATAATACAAATACTGAGCCACGTATATTGCATGCTAAATATTATTTTATACTCTTACAATTGCTCAGAGAAAGAGATTTGAGAACACGTTGGGAGGGATCTTAGATCATTCCTCCATACAGAATCTTTCCAGACCCTTGATCTCCTTTGTCTGCTCTTATGGACTGCCTGCCCTCTTCAATTCAAAACACAGGTTTGAGGTATACCGTAGATATGAGGTACTTTGCTTCCGCTTTTCAGGCCAAAGAGCTCTATTTTCATGTCATCTGACCATCTGAGTTTGATGGTCAGAAGACAGTGGTGGGTTTGGCATTGAAAAACAGAAGCATATGCAGAAAATTACCTTATACCTACAGTAAAATATGGTGGTGGATCTTTGATGTTATGGGGCTATTTTGCTTCCACTGGTCCTGGGGCCCTTGTTAATTGACCACAAAAATCATCATTTTGCAATGTCCATCTCAGTCTCTGGACTTGAACCCCGTTGACAACTTGTGGTTTGAATTGAGGAGGGCAGTCCATAAGAGCAGAAGAAGGATATCAACAATCTGGAAATATTCTGTGTGGAGGAATGGTCAAAGATCCCTCCCAACATGTTATCCAATCTCATAAAACATTTCAGAAAAAGGCTCAGTGTTGTTATCCGAGAGTATTGAAAACAGGAGTGCCAATTTTTTGACCCCCATTTTAACAAAAAAATAATGTGGTTACTTGTTAAACAAAATCTGTTTCTCTGAGCAATTGTATTAGTTTAAAATTATATAATGTCCCACTTTTTTTTGGAGCACACAACATAGCTCAGTGTTATTATACCGTTTTTTTGCTCATCTTTATCAAGGGTACCAATAATTATGGACCTGACTGTATGTCTCCTCCCAAACCATCCATGGTTGCCTGGTTATCTCTCTCTTCATTGGGATTCTTCATCATACCAGAGTGTGGATAAGTTCGAAGTCTGATGCTGACTAATATAGATTACTGTAAACTTAACAGAGACAACAGATTGCAACTCCAACTTTCAACACATATTGTACCTCCCATATTGGGCTGCCAAAATGGGTGGATGGCTGCCTGGGTATGTCTCCTCATTCAGATTCCAGGACTACGGAGTGTGGATAAGCTAGGAGACAAGTCTAATGCGGACTAATATACAGTCGTGGTCAAAAGTTTTGAGAATGACACAAATACTAATTTTCACAAAGTCTGCTGCCTCAGTTTTGATGATGGCAATTTGCATATACTCCAGAATGTCATGAAGCGTGATCAGATGAATTGCAATTAATTGCAAAGTCCCTCTTTGCCATGAAAATGAACTTAATCCCCCTGCATTTCAGCCCTGCCACAAAAGGACCAGCTGCCATCATGTCAGTGATTCTCTCTTAAACACAGGTGAGAGTGTTGATGAGGACAAGGCTGGAGATCACTCTGTCATGCTGATTGAGTTAGAATAACAGACTGGAAGCTTTAAAAGGAGGGTGGTGCTTGAAATCATTGTTCTTCCTCTGTTAACCATGGTTACCTACAAGGAAACACGTGGCGTCATCATTGCTTTGCACAAAAAGGGCTTCACAGGCAAGGATATTGCTGCTAGTAAGATTGCACCTAAATCAACTATTTATCGGATCATCAAGAACTTAAAGGAGAGAGGTTCAATTGTTGTGAAGAAGGCGTCAGGGCACCCAAGAAAGTCCAGCAAGCGCCAGGACCGTCTCCTAAAGTTGATTCAGCTGCAGGATCAGGGCACCACCAGTGCAGAGCTTGCTCAGGAATGGCAGCAGGCAGGTGTGAGTGCATCTGCACGCACAGTGAGGCGAAGACTTTTGGAGGATGGCCTGGTGTCAAGAAGGGCAGCAAAGAAGCCACTTCTCTCCAGGAAAAACATCAGGGACAGACTGATATTCAGCAAAAGGTACAGGGATTGGACTGCTGAGGACTGGGGTAAAGTCATTTTCTCTGATGAATCCCCTTTCAGATTGTTTGGGGGATCCGGAAAACACCTTGTCCGGAGAAGACAAGGTGAGCGCTACCATCAGTCCTGTGTCATGCCAACAGTAAAGCATCCTGAGACCATTCTTGTGTGGGGTTGCTTCTCAGCCAAGGGAGTGGGCTCACTCACAATTTTGCCTAAGAACACAGCCATGAATAAAGAATGGTACCAACACATCCTCCGAGAGCAACTTCTCCCAACCATCCAAGAACAGTTTGGTGACGACCAATGCCTTTTCCAGCATGATGGAACACCTTGCCATAAGGCAAAAGTGATAACTAAGTGGCTCGGGGAACAAAACATCGACATTTTGGGTCCATGGCCAGGAAACTCTCCAGACCTTAATCCCATTGAGAACTTGTGGTCGATCCTCAAGAGGCGGGTGGACAAACAAAAACCCACAAATTCTGACAAACTCCAAGCATTGATTATGCAAGAATGGGCTGCCATCAGTCAGGATGTGGCCCAGAAGTTAATTGACAGCATGCCAGGGCGGATTGCAGAGGTCTTGAAAAAGAAAGGTCAACACTGCAAATATTGACTCTTTGCATAAACTTAATGTAATTGTCAATAAAAGTCTTTGACACTTATGGAATGCTTGTAATTATACAATAGTAACATCTGACAAAAATATCTCATAACACTAAAGCAGCAAACTTTGTGAAGACCAATCCTTGTGTCATTCTCTAAACATTTGACCACGACTGTACATTACTGTACGTACATTTCACGACAACAAATTGAAACAATCTATACTTTTATGTGTTTGGCTGTCAATCACTAAAACCTGCTAATCAGGAGGGAAAACGTAATACTACTGGACGTGGCACTGACTGCACTTTGTTGTAATTCAAGAAATAACATTACAACTGAAAATATTTATATTTGTTACACTTTCATCCTACAATAACACAATATCATAAAATGACTGTGACCCACCACATTGACTTACAGTAAAATAGTCTGCAATGCACTCATACACTTCTAATGACGCAGAGGCAGACTAGGATAGAGAGGAGTTCGGTATCCATGGCTGCAGATGTTTAGATTAGAAAACAAAAACAATGAAAGGAAAACAATTCTAAAACGGGAGAAGAAAACTCCCTTTGAGACGTTGTGATATGATGATCTCATGGCATGACAAATAGCACTGGTGAGACTGGTTTGAGGAAGCTTACACACCGTGCCAGTGGTAAAGAGGCTCCCCTGGGGGAGCACACTGATGCACAGGCGAGCCAACGCTCAGTGCCTACTGGCGGATTGTGACTCCTTTACTGTCTCATTGCTTAATCATCTAATTGGACAATTTGACACATTTTACCACCAAACACAAACTCAGACTGGCTGCTCTCGATTTCTCTCTCTAGGAGACACAAACACGATAAGGAGAGAAGAACTTGTGCTTTTAATAAAATATTGAGTTGTCAAAAGTTCATAAACATTCACAGAATTTCAAAAGCATGTTATATCCTGTAGTAGTACGTCAAGAAATACAGTTTACAAAAGGTATTTTCCACAAAACAAATACAATTTCTCAGGTACATTCTTCTAAAAGTAACAGGAAATGCCATGTTGTTGTTTGGCACTAACTTGAACACAGTGAGTGCAGGTGAACACAGGTGAACTGTCTCCAGGTACATGTCACATGTTGACACTGAGGTCCCACGGTATATCCTCATCCTCCTCCTGGCCGTCAGGGTCAAATTGGCTCCAGGGAATGTCATTCACCTGACAAAGAAATACAAAGAAAGGACATTCATTCCTGAGATCAGATTTGATTTAGATTTCATTAATGCTTGCGGTCAACAAGACTGAGTTATGCAGAATACACAATTACATATAATGAGTTACATTAAGTTATAAAGTATACTACTAAAGTTAATATTACATAAAGTTAACACCAGTGATTGTCCAGTAAAGTTACCAATAATTTAAACTGCACTAGCAATTTTTGTAAATACTACAATGGCCAAAATACATACCGACTAAACATCCCATGTGGGTAGAAAACAATTTAAAGAATACAATGGTAATCTAAAGTGTGGAATAATTACTGTAAGAGAACAGTGTGGTACCTTTATGAGTCCTTCCAGATCCTCGTCTTGTAGGACATTATCTCGCTCCATCCTGCATTCAACTACAACTTTCCCATTACCTGGAAGACATCATTTTTTTGTGATTACATTTTTATTCCCTTATGGCGGAGGATATCCCTGCCCATGCATCTACACATGGAAGACTGAGCTGCAATCTTCATAATGATTCCAATGATTCGCTCACTTAAAGTTCAGGGCCTCGTTTCCCAGAGCCTTCGTAGCGTTAAGATTATCGTTAGAACCATCTTACGATGCATCTTTAGTAGCCGAGGTGTTTCCCAGAGCCTTCGTTAATAACGTTGATCTTAAAAACCTTTGCACATCTATGAGTGATCCAGACCACTCGTAGAGCAGCCAAAGTCCATCGTTAGATGATTTTTTGCCCTTCCGTGCCACTTTATTCACAGAAGACCTCCGCTAAACATAGAATCAAGATGTTTCTTGATCAAGATGGGTATCTATCTAACTGTGAACTACAAAAACAAAGTGGCCAAAGTATTTGCAATTGTTACAAACAAGTGAAACATAAAACAATGCTTCAAATGCAGGTGGTCCTCTGTAGCTCAATTGGTAGAGCACGGCGCTTGTTACGCCAGGGTAGTGGGTTCGATCCCCAGGACCAACCATACGTAAAAATGTATGCGCACATGACTGTAAGTCGCTTTGGATAAAAGTGTCTGCTAAATGGCATATTATATTATTATTATTATAAAATGAAAACCGAGATGACTGCATTAAAAGATAAATAGGCTACATGGGCCAATAAATTGAAATCGTATTGAAATCGTCAAGTTTTATTTTACCACTAGGCTACGGTCTAATTTTTGCCTCAATATGTGTCATGATGTGTGACAAGATGTGCTCAACGATGTGCCCAATCAGCCGTATGGGAAAAAAACTCAAGTGGTGGCGGGAGCTTGGACTGCCGTTTCCACATCTCCCCAATTTAAATGAAGCTTTACTCACCCAGAACCAGCAGCAACACCTTCTCGAAAGCGTCAACGACTGCTTTGTCCCTGGCCCATCTCTGGAGCTTTCCTCTTTTTAGCAGGACAATGTCTGTACCTATGGCCCAAAACAACAGAGAGGCGTTTTAGTGAAAAAAATGCAGAGCGTTATCTAGCATGTGTTGACAGACTAGAGCTTTCACTTTCGTTGCACAATAATTAGTTATTTCATTACAAAGACACAAATCGTATCTTTTGCCCTCAATGTGCTCTGTTCCGAGAATAACACAGACATTTTAAAAGGTAATTAGAGATCAACACCTTTATGTCAACAAACCCTGAGTTGGGCAAAAGTATACGTAAATTATTTTGTCTATATTCTGTCAATATACAGTGGGGGGAAAAAAGTATTTAGTCAGCCACCAATTGTGCAAGTTCTCCCACTTAAAAAGATGAGAGGCCTGTAATTTTCATCATAGGTACACGTCAACTATGACAGACAAATTGAGAAAAAAAATCCAGAAAATCACATTGTAGGATTTTTAATGAATTTATTTGGAAAATAAGTATTTGGTCAATAACAAAAGTTTCTCAATACTTTGTTATATACCCTTTGTTGGCAATGACACAGGTCAAACGTTTTCTGTAAGTCTTCACAAGGTTTTCACACACTGTTGCTGGTGTTTTGGCCCATTCCTCCATGCAGATCTCCTCTAGAGCAGTGATGTTTTGGGGCTGTCGCTGGGCAACACGGACTTTCAACTCCCTCCAAAGATTTTCTATGGGGTTGAGATCTGGAGACTGGCTAGGCCACTCCAGGACCTTGAAATGCTTCTTACTAAGCCACTCCTTCGTTGCCCGGGCGGTGTGTTTGGGATCATTGTCATGCTGAAAGACCCAGCCACGTTTCATCTTCAATGCCCTTGCTGATGGAAGGAGGTTTTCACTCAAAATCTCATGATACATGGCCCCATTTATTCTTTCCTTTACATGGATCAGTCGTCCTGGTCCCTTTGCAGAAAAACAGCCCCAAAGCATGATGCTTCCACCCCCATGCTTCACAGTAGGTATGGTGTTCTTTGGATGCAACTCAGCATTCTTTGTCCTCCAAACATGACGATTTGAGTTTTTACCAAAAAGTTATATTTTGGTTTCATCTGACCATATGACATTCTCCCAATCCTCTTCTGGATCATCCAAATGCACTCTAGCAAACTTCAGACAGGCCTGGACATGTACTGGCTTAAGCAGGGGGACACGTCTGGCACTGCAGGATTTGAGTCCCTGGCGGCGTAGTGTGTTACTGATGGTAGGCTTTGTTACTTTGGTCCCAGCTCTCTGCAGGTCATTCACTAGGTCCCCCCGTGTGGTTCTGGGATTTTTGCTCAACGTTCTTGTGATCATTTTGACCCCACAGGGTGAGATCTTGCGTGAGCCCCAGATCGAGGGAGATTATCAGTGGTTTTGTATGTCTTCCATTTCCTAATTATTGCTCCCACAGTTGATTTCTTCAAACCAAGCTGCTTACCTATTGCAGATTCAGTCTTCCCAGCCTGGTGCAGGTCTACAATTTTGTTTCTGGTGTCCTTTGACAGCTCTTTGGTCTTGGCCATAGTGGAGTTTGGAGTGTGACTGTTTGAGGTTGTGGACAGGTGTCTTTTATACTGATAACAAGTTCAAACAGGTGCTATTAATACAGGTAACGAGTGGAGGACAGAGGAGCCTCTTAAAGAAGAAGTTACAGGTCTGTGAGAGCCAGAAATCTTGCTTGTTTGTATGTGACCAAATACTTATTTTCCACCATAATTTGCAAATAAATTCATTAAAAATCCTACAATGTGATTTCCTGGATTTTTTTTTCTCAATTTGTCTGTCATAGTTGACGTATACCTATGATGAAAATTACAGGCCTCTCTCATCTTTTTAAGTGGGAGAACTTGCACAATTGGTGGCTGACTAAATACTTTTCCCCCCACTGTATTCTGTTTATTATAAGGCCCTGTCACCACCATTTCACAAGGTCAAATTCCTGTACTTCGCAAATAAAGGTGATTCTCATTCAGATTCTTTCTGAAACACAACCTTCACATAGGCACTGTGGCTGTTCTGCTGAATCTCACCGGTGCCCTCCACGGTCTCCTCTGCCACTCCGACGCCTCGACAGCTAAGGCCATGCTGTGGGAAGGTGACCTCCATGATGCAGCCGTACTTCAGGGTAATCTCCTGAGGGTCACCAGGTGTGGTGGACAACCTGCCGGCATTGTCACAGTTGGAGATGTCCTTCAGCTGTCCAGAGAAAGGAAGGTTTCATTATATTACATATTGTCATTGTCTGAGGAAAACCTTGTAACTACATTTTTGCCAATTGTCATATATATAAAAAAAGTTCTCATTTATTGAAAGCAGTAACTCCCCTCAATGTCCTCTGAATATTTTATGACTCTAGGACCAAGAAAATATATTCAAAATAGCTTCTGAAGTTTCATAATTGTATGTTCGTTAACAGGAAAGTATGGTCATTTTTTCAAATGTTCTGAAAAGTTTCTGTTTTGGATATATGAGGTTTTCATCATACAGCGACGGTATACGACATGGTCCATATTCTCTACAGCAGAAATGGATTGACTTCAACATTTGGGACTGAAGATGTGTTACTTTAAAGTCTGACAACCTATCATCTGCTTGTGTTGTCTATCTTTTAATGTCTTTAGAAATACTTTAGGTCATTGCTCACACAAAGCTAACTAGCTATCGATTTCACATCGGCTGCACCCACCTAACCAAACAAATACTGTATATGTTGTATCATCCTGTAACATACAGGCAAATATATTAGTATTGGAACATAAAAGAGACATTTTGGGGCATTGCTGCTTCTTACTGTAACAATGTGGGTGCTCCATCCATTAAATCCCAGGTAGTGATTGGCCAAGTCCTGACACTTGCTATGGCTCAGTGGCTTGGAGTTGTGAAGGAAGTTTGGGTACTGCTTTGTGCTCAGCTTTACCTGGAGAACAGACAGAGAATGTACAATCAGTTCTAAATGTCAATCATTACAATGGTTATGACTTCATGGTGAACAGTGTTTTGGGCAGAAAGTGCAGCAGAGCAGAGACTACCAGCAAGAGGCCGGTCTACAAATCATCATTGAGTGGAAAGACATTGCCATCTACTGGTCAAGGTCTGGTATTAGTTATTGGTCAAGTGTTACTGTGAAGGTTCACAGCAGCTATGAGAAAAAGACTACTCTTGGGGCCTCGAAGTTGTTTTAAATGGGGAAAAGTGTTTGGTTGAAAATATATACACGTCATGTCACATAAGCAATGATCTTATGAAATAATACAATTATAATACAATCAATTTGGAGAGTATTTTGATATCTCTTTGGAATTGATGTTTGTAAGTACATATGAGAACTGCAAGCACTAAATTGTACAATAGAGTACCACCGTACGAGTCATAATACCCATAAAACCTAGCGGTCAACAAGGAAATGGATCTAAATCGTTTTTCCACCTGGATAAGAGCGTCTGCTAAATGACTAAAATGTAAATGTAAAAATGTTTCCCGTAGGAGATTTTAGAAACACTTCAAATAAGGGCTGTGTTTCGTGTAGGCTTACTCTGGCGGGATGATTTGATAACCGTGTAAATCTCTCTAGAACAAGGTGACTTTTATCAATATATTCGCCTGTATTTAACCCCCAAAAATGAAACGCTAATTAGCTGCTCATGTGGCTATCATAAAGAACTACAAATTATCTGGACGAGACTGACGAATCAAGGCAAAGGTAAGAATCTCTGGATTAAATATATCATAAATTGGCTAAGTTTTTGTGCAAGTTATAAATTGACACAATACCTGTTAGCATAGGTGGCAGGTAGAGATTATGTGCAGGAGCTTGCAGGGATTTGTAGTTTTGCATGATGTTTACTTTGATGCTAATTAGCGTTTTCAAATCTGAGAGTAAATAGAGCCTAATATATTGATAAAAGTCACCTTGTCCGAGAGAGTTTTACATGGTTATCAAAACGTCACGCCAAGGTAAGCCTACACGAAACACAGCCCTTATTTTAAGTGTCTCTAAAATCCCCTATGGGATAAAATGAATGGTGAAAAAACCATTGGAACCATTTTCCTGTTTGACCGCTAGGTTTTATGGGTATTATGACACCTCCACTGTGGGGCTCTATAGCTTGTAATATTTGAGTAAGTTTCTCTCTGAAAAGTTCCCTTACCTTCAAAGGAGAGTTCTGGAAAAAGCCTCTTCCGTGTGTGGCTCTCTGTGCTTTAGATGCCTGGGCTGCGGAGAAGTACTTGACTAGGGCATAGAACCCTGGCTCGACCACGGCAGCATTGGGACACACCTTCACCAGATACAGCGGTCCAAACTTACAGAAGATGTTCCAGATGGATTCCTTTAAAAGAACACAGTATAGAATTTCAATTAATGGCAGTGACAATCACTTATTAGCCTACTTTAGATAGGCTGGTGGGTAGGAGCGTTGGGCCAGTAACCGAAAGGTTGCTGGATCGAATCCCCGAGCTGACAAGGTACAAATCTGTAGTTATTTTACATTACATTTAACATTTACATTTACGTCATTTAGCAGACGCTCTTATCCAGAGCGACTTACAGTTAGTGAATACATCTTTTTTTTTTTTTATACTGGCCCCCCGTGGGAATCGAACCCACAACCCTGGCGTTGCAAACGCCATGCTCTATCAACTGAGCTACATCCCTGCCGGCCATTCCCTCGCCTACCCTGGACGACGCTGGGCCAATTGTGCGCTGCCCATGAGTCTCCCGGTCGCGGCCGGCTGCGACAGAGCCTGGATTCGAACCAGGATCTCTAGTGGCACAGTTAGCACTGCGATGCAGTGCCTTAGACCACTGCGCCACTCAGGAGCCCCTGACCACTCAGTTATGCCCCTGAGCAAGGCAGTTAACCCACTGTTCCCCGGGCGCCAATGACGTGGATGTCGATTAAGGCAGCCCCCCGCATCTCTCTGATTCAGAGGGGTTGGGTTAAATGTGGAAGACACAATTCAGTTGTACAACTGACTAGGTATCCCCCTTTCCCTTTATACCTTGCTCTCCTATCAAAGATTCCGTATCAAAGTTGCATTAGTGTTCTGCAAGTTAATTGTAAAATGTAGATGTGTCCAAAACAAAGTCATATAAAGGGCCTATACTATTAGATTGCTTTAATGTCATTGCATGTAATGATGAATGATGATGACAAAGAAAATAGTCTCACTAGTTTCTTTCTGAATTAAGTGTGGCGATTCTCAAACGTCATTAACTAAGCCAGATAACTCCTGTATTAATCACATAGCTAACTACTGTATTAGTCACAAACAATTCATCAATGAGACTTACGTAAATAAAAGCTTCTGAAAATATGGGTTGAATATTCCAGACAAACAGTGTTTTGTTATTTTCAATGGGTACCCTGAACTCTATTACGTCCACCTCGACCTCCATTGCAGTAGTGAATTCTGGCTAGAGCAACATTATTGTTGTAGGCTACTACTCTGCTCCGCCAACAGTGTTGCACGAAATGGTTTCAATGTTGATGTTAATGTCCCCCTAGTCAAGTCTTTTCTGGAGGATATTATGAATCAATCTATCGCAGAATCTTTGATATCACGTTCATGTTTACGTTGACTTCCGCACAAGAGCCTCTAATTTCCCCGCGCTGAAAACGTCATTCAATACGCAGTAGATTTTCTTCTATGGTATTATGGTGGTCCGCAAACACACGTTAGAGGTGCATGCCGCCACCTACTGTATGGGTGAAAACTGGGCAACTTCAATGCAGCAAAAGAAAGGTTGAAAAAAAAAAACTCATATTATTCCCAAACGTTTTTACTAAAACAAACATCAATGTACTATTTCAGTCAGTTTCAAATGTCTACTCAGATCCCTACACAGGCTCTGGGGCCTGAGAGGGAGGAGTATCTTCCGACAGTATTCCCTGCAATGTTTCAGCCGTGAAGTCCTGTAGATCCAATAACCTTTTTGCCGCTCTACATAGGAGACCTGCTTGACAGCCCTGAGCCTCGCTACTTTGACCTCCTTCACCCTAACAGGGCACTCAGGAAACTCTGGAAAATGCTTCCCATCACAATTGCAGCACCGTGCATCCTCAGACTCTTCAAAACGTATTGTAGCGACCCGCACAGACAGCTGTGTGTTATGTGTTAGGCTAGTAGATGGTTGTGTTGTACCTACCAGTACCCAGTGTTCGCGGGGTCCGACATGTCAATCAACTGCTATCTGCCAATGCGGGCATCCTGG